TATGGGGCCACGAAGCGTGTGCGGGGTGTGCCGAAATGGGTGTGCGTGACGCATGCGGTCGCTGGCTCTGGGGCCTTCGGTGGAGCTCCCTGTGGGGCCACCAAACGTGTGCGGGGTACGTCGAAATGGGTGTGCGTGACGCATGCGGGCGGTGGTACTGGGGTGGAGCTTCCTGGAGGGTCACGAAACGTGTGAGGGGTGTGCCGACATGGGTGTGCGTGACGTATGCGGGCGGTGGCACTGAGGCCTGCGGTGGAGCTCCCTACGGGGCCAGGAAGTGTGTAAGGGGTGTGCCGACATGGGTGTGCGTGACGCATGTGGGCGATGCAGGGAGGAGTGGAAGAGGAACGAAAGAAGACATGAGGGAGGGAACGCGGGGACCGTCTATTCAAAACGAGGGCACAACACCGCAGGATGGTTGGGAACAAATAAAGAAACCGCGGATGCGTCGGTCGCGTAAAACAGAAAACGGTTGGAGTCGCAGGTACGTAAGATACAACATGTAAATCATCCTGGCGAAGGACACAACCGTATGCAGTTGTGAGTAACGCAAGTGTTGGTACCGTCTTCGGTGGAGCTCCTCATGGGGCCACGAAGTGTGAGGGGTGTGCCGAAATAGGTGCGGTGGTGTCATGCGAGCGCAGCCACTGGGGCCTTCGGAAGAGCTCCCCATGGGGCCACGAAACGTGTGAGTGGTGTGCCGGACTGTGTGCGGTGGTGTCATGCGAACGCAGCCACTGGGGCCTTCGGTGGAGCTCTCCATGGGGCTACGAAACGTGTGAGGAACGTGCCGAAACGGGTACGGTGGTGCCATGCGATCGCAGCCACTGGGGGCTTCGGTGGAGCTCCCCATGGGGCCACTAAGCGTGTGAGGGGTGTGCCGAAATGAGTGGCTTGCGAGCGCAGCCTCTGGGGCCGAGTTCCCTGTGGGGCCACGAAACGTGTGAGGGGTGTGCCGAAATGAATGCGGTGGCGTCATGCGATCGCAGCCATTGGGGCTTTTGGTGGAGCTCCCCATGGGGCCACGAGGCGTGTGAGCGGTGTGCCGAAATGAGTGCGGTGGTGTCATGTCAGCGCAGCCACAGGGGCCTTCGGTAGAGCTCCTTATGGGGCTTCGAAATGTCTGAGGGGTGTGCCGAAATAGGTGGCGACGATGGTGGCGATGACGGCGATGATGATAACGATGACGATGATGGTGACCATGATGATCATGATGATGATGACGATTGTGATGCTGATGCTGATGATGATATGAGGAGGGAGGTGGCAGCGGGAGGAAGGACTGAGACGCGGGGCGCTGTCTCTTCAAAACGAGGACCCAACACCACAGGGTGGTTGGGAAAAAATCGTGACAGGGGAAGACAAACAAAAACGGACAACCGAAAAGGGCGCCGAACTAAGGGATCACAGTTTTGGTCACCAGGAGGAGGAGGAGGAGGAGGAGGAGGAGGAGGAGGAGGAGGAGGAGGAGGAGGAGGACCAGTGTAAACCCAAGAGTCATCAACGAATTGGAAGAAACCCTCCCTCCAAGGTCACTCTGCATAGGCACCTACACCAGTTCATGTCCAGTGAGGGAACTGCCTCGTTGGAAGACAACCGTTTGAAGACCCTGACGCATGCCACAACATTGTCCTCGTGAGTTCAACGCCACGGATCAACCTGACTGTTGCGTCTTGACGGTCCTGAATCGTGCCAGGACGCTATTCCTGGTACTTCAACACCGCGAACCAACTTAACTGTTGCACCTTCATAATCCGGATTTTTTGTCCAAAACGCCGAATTTGGTCGCTGATCATGGGGATCCGCGAAACTCTTGCGAATTGAGAATGCGAATGTGCGCAGCGCTAAGGCGAGAGCCACAGTTTGAAAAGGAGACCCTCAATCCGTGAAACTTTCGCACAATTGCAAAACGAATGTTTGCGGCGCTAAGGCGAGAGCTACACTTTGAACAGGAACCGCTTTCAATCCGTGAAGTTGTTACAATTTGTTAAAACGAATTTGCGGCGCTAAGGCGAGAGCCATATTTTGAAAACGACCCGCCCTCCATCTGTGTAGCTGTTGCCACTTTTTTTGGCTTCAGGGTCATGCGTGGCGAGGAGGTCTCAGGCGAAACGCCCGGCCCGCTCCAAAAACCAGTTTCGGGGTGCGACGGGGAATTTTTTTCATGAGGGAAAGGAATGGAGGAGGACGACGAGGAGGAGGAGGAGGAGGAAGACCATTGTAAACCCAAGAGTCATCAACTATGTTGGAGTATAATATCCTTCCAAGCTCCCTCTTTATAGGCCCCTACAGCGGTTCATTTCCATTGAAGGAGCTGCCTCGTTGGAAGATACCCGTTCGAAGACCCTGACGCATGCCAAAACATTTTGCTCAGGATTCCAACGCCCCGATCAGCCTGACTGTTGCGTCTTGACAGTCCTGAATCGTGCCAGAACGCTATTGTTAGGACTTCGACACAGAAAGTCAACGTAACTGTTGCACCTTCATAATCCTGAATTCTTCCAAAACGACCTTTCTGGTACGTTGAAGATGGGAATCCGTGAAACTCTTTGAACATGTTGTAAACGAATATACGCGGCGTTAAGGCGAGGGCCACATTTTGAAAAGGAGCCGTCCTCAATCCGTGAAGCTCTTGCAACTTGTGAAAACGAACGTGCGCCTCGCTAAGACGAGAGCCACATTTTGAAAAATCACCCGCCCTCAATCCGTGAAGTTCTTGCACATTTTTAAAGCGAACGTGCGCCGCGCTAAGGCGAGATCCACATTTTGAAAACCACCCGCCCTCAATCCGTGAAGCGCTTGCCATTCTTTACACCGAGTGTGCGCCGCGCTAAGGCGACAGCCACATTTTGGAAACGACCCGCCCCCCATCTGTGGAGCTGTTGCCAATTGCTAAGCTTCATAATCACAAATGGTGAGGAAGTCTCAGGCGGAACGCCCGTCCCGCCCTAAACACTGGCCTCGGGGTGCGACAGGGAGAAGTTGTTTATAAGGGAAAGGAATGGAGGAGATGGAGGAGAAGGAGGAGGAGGAGGAGGACTTCGGAACTATCATGTGATTCTCACGTGCTGCACAGGGGATCGTTCGCGATCGGGGCACAAGCAGAGGGGGCACTGGATAAACGCCAGGCCCATGCTAGCTGCTGAGGATAGCTGGCGCTGCATGGAGGACCTGGGGACGAGGAGGACTTGGGGAAGAAAGGGCTTGGACCACTTGGGCCTCGCTCTCTGGAAGATGTGTTTTTTTGGGGGGGTCTTCTCCACCTGCTCCCTAGGTTTGCGGCGCCCTCGGCGTGCGTGTTGGCGGCGTGCGCCCTCGGCGGCTCCAACGGTAAGGGCGAATCAGCACTGACGCTCGCTGTCCGCAGAGGCAGGCGTCAGCTGAGGAACCAAACGCGGTGCAAACAGAAACGTTCGGACGTCCGGGCGGACTTTCTTGGGTCGGCGCTGGACCGAGCGCTCCGTTCGGCGCCGCCACAGCGCGCTTCGCGCACCAGGGCGTTCCGGCTTCGGTCCAAGAGGTCCGCGCGGACCGACTGTTTGATTTATCCAATCCTCATCCCGATCGGGTAAACGTTTTTCCCCCATTGGCCGACCTGCCTCCCTGGTTGGGGGTCGATGCTGTTTACGTCGGGTTCCGTGGTGCCTGTCCCCCACCTGGAGGAAGGATATCATAAACTTTGGGAGGTCCGCTCGGATCTCTTGGATCGGCTCTGGACCCCCCGCTGATCCGAGAAATCTGCGGGGACCTCCGATAGTTTACAGTCAACCCGCGCAGTAAGGATGAGCAACTTCCCGAGATTACCCTGGCATCCTCCCCCCTCGGCTCATCCTTGGCCGCTTCCGCTGCCCGCGCCCCGCTCGCAGAGTGTTGCATGCTTATCTCAAGGGAGGACAATTCATCCCGACCCCGACATTTCGCGTTACTAAACGGCCCTGGGCGTTTACTAAACAGCCCTGCCCTGCTCGATTCCTTCCATGGGTGGGTTTACTAAACGGCTTCGCTTGTTGGGGTGCTCATTCTGGAGGTGGGTTTCTGCTCTCTATCATCGTGCGCCCTTCCCATGCGGGTTGTCTGTGCGCTGCGTTTGGTTCCTCAGCTGACGCCTGCCTCTGCGGACAGCGAGCGTCAGTGCTGATTCGCCCGTTACCGTTGGAGCCGCCGAGGGCGCACGCCGCCAACACGCACGCCGAGGGCGCCGCAAACCTAGGGAGCAGGTGTAGAAGACCCCCCCCCCCAAAAACACATCTTCCAGAGAGCGAGGCCCAAGTGGTCCAAGCCCTTTCTTCCCCAAGTCCTCCTCGTCCCCAGGTCCTCCATGCAGCGCCAGCTATCAGCTAGCATGGGCCTGGCGTTTATCCAGTGCCCCCTCTGCTTGTGCCCCGATCGCGAACGATCCCCTGTGCAGTACGTGAGAATCACATGATAGTTCCGAAGTCCTCCTCCCCCCCCTCCTCCTTCTCCTCCATCTCCTCCATTCCTTTCCCTTATAAACAACTTCTCCCTGTCGCACCCCGAGGCCAGTGTTTAGGGCGGGACGGGCGTTCCGCCTGAGACTTCCTCACCATTTGTGATTATGAAGCTTAGCAATTGGCAACAGCTCCACAGATGGGGGGCGGGTCGTTTCCAAAATGTGGCTGTCGCCTTAGCGCGGCGCACACTCGGTGTAAAGAATGGCAAGCGCTTCACGGATTGAGGGCGGGTGGTTTTCAAAATGTGGCTCTCGCCTTAGCGCGGCGCACGTTCGCTTTAAAAATGTGCAAGAACTTCACGGATTGAGGGCGGGTGGTTTTCAAACTGTGGCTCTCGCCTTAGCGCGGCGCACGCTCGTTTTCACGAGTTGCAAGAGCTCCACGGATTGAGGACGGCTCCGTTTCAAGATGTCCTCCTCGTGCGTCCGTATTACACGGGTGGACTGTATGCTGACGTCCTGGGGGGAGGGCTCGGGGAGCTCTGCGTGGCGGGGCGCCTCCGCCCCGGCCGGCCGCGGGGGCCGCGAGGAGCAGCTGGGCGCCGGGGTCTCCCTGCTGCGCGGGCTCTTCGCGGGCGGCCAGCCGACGTGGCGGGGCGTGCGGGGGCCCGGGCAGCCCGCGAAGTGCGAGACGTTTTCCACGACGTCCATACAGATCCACTGCTCCCTGGCCCTCCTCCTCCTCCTCCTCCTCCTCCTCCTCCTCCTCCTCGCTCCTCCTCCTCGCTCCTCCTCCTCCTCGCTCCTCCTCCTCCTCGCTCCTCCTCCTGCTCCTCCTCGCTCCTCCTCCTCGCTCCTCCTCCTCGCTCCTCCTCCTCCTCCTCCTCCTCCTCCTCCTCCTCCTCCTCCTCCTCCTCCTCACTGGCCCACCCTGAACGCAGCAGCGGTATAGACGCCACGCCCTCCTGGCTTGGCCACGCGGCCGCATATGCAGCTCCCGGGCCTAGGAGAGGCCTGGCCGGGGAACAGTGGATCTGTACGGATTTCGTCGCCCGAGAGAAGAGCACGACGGGATGTCCTTGGCCACTGCCGGTCTCTGGGGGCCCGCGCCGGCCCCTGGGGCCGTCAGCAGAAGGATTCGGGACGAAAAGCCAGTCCAAGGGGGCCACGCCGTACAGATCATGACGTCGGATGTCCTGGGGGGCGCATCGGAGGAGTGCCGCACCACGTCCTCGCCCTCGTTGTCGTCCTCTTCCCCATGGTCCTCCCCCTCCTCCTCCTCCTCCTCCTCCTCCTCCTCCTCCTCCTCCTCCTCCTCCAACACCTCCTCTTCTTTCAAGCCGTCGAGATGCGGACTGCTCTTGTGTTGGGTCTGGATCCCTGGCCTCCGCACCCCGCTCCTCCTCTCCCCGCCTCCCTCCCTTCTCTCTGGTTTCTCCTCCACCTTCTCTCCCTTTCCCTCCCTGGAGGAGGAGGAGGAGGAGGAGGAGGAGGAGGAGCAGGATTGAAGCTCCTTCTCCTCTTCCTCCTCCTACTCGCCTCCTCCTGCTCGAACGGCAGCCCACTCGTCGCTCCTGCCTTCTTTTGGCAGCAGAACGGTGGTATTATTTCTAGGCTCCTCTGAAACAACATGCCCCCGCCGCTGCTGCCTCCTCCTCCTCCTCCTCCTCCTCTCCTTCTCCTCTTCCTCCTCCTCCTCCTCCTCCTCCTCCTCCTCGTTGTGCCCCTTATCAGCCCCCTCGTTCTTCTGCATCCCCCCTATTCCCCTCCTTCCCTTGACCGCCGGCCTCTTTGCGTTTGAAGGGGAGGTTGCCCTCAATGTCTTCGTTTCGAACATGTGGCTCCACACGAGGGTGCTTGTGTCGCGCACCGTCCGTTCATGCCCGCGCGGTGGAGCATCAAACACGCCTTGCGCAAATCTGTCATCACACTGCGCACGTACCACGTCCCTCCTCCTCCTCCTCCTCCTCCTCCTCCTCTCCTCCTCCTCCTCCCTCTCCTCCTCCTCTCCTCCTCCCTCCCTCCTCTCTCCTCCCTTTCCTCCTGCTCCGCGCGTATGTGTGTGTGTGTGTGTGTGTGTGTGTGGTGTGTGTGGGTGTGTGTGTGTGTGTGTGTGTGTGTGTGTGTGTGTGTGTGTGTGTGTGTGTGTGTGTGTGTGTGTGTGTGTGTGTGTGTGTGTGTGTGTGTGTGTGTGTGTGTGTGTGTGTGTGTGTGTGTGTGTGTGTGTGTGGGGGTGTGGCTTGCGTTTGCTCTCTCGCGCGAGTCCTGGCCTGATCCTCTGGACTGGTCTGCTGCGCCTGCAGCGCTGCCCCACAGAGTGGCGAAGTCGGCCCGTGCGTGCCCCGCACGGCCTGCCCACCGCCGATTGGGGTCGCTGGGCGCGTCGAGGAGGGGGGAGGGAAAGGAGGGGGGGACAAAGCGGGGGAAAGGAGGGAGGGACAGGAGGGAGGGAAAGGAGGGAGGGAGGGAAAGGAGGGAGGGAAAGGAGGGAGGGAGTGGAGGATGGAGGCAGACGCCGATGATGATTGTGTGGATGATGATGCTCATGATGCCGATGATGCTGCTGATGATGATCGTGATAACGACGATGCCTTTTCTGAAGATGCTGATGATGATGGTGATGATGACGATGACGATGGCGACGACGACGACGGCGATACTGATGATGATGATGTTGATGATGATGCTGATGCTTTTGATGATGATGACGATCATGATGGCGACGACGACGGTCCTGATGAGGATGATGATGGTGATGATGAGGCGACGAAGCTGATGATGGTGATGATGATCATCCTGCTGATGATGACGGCCAAGACGACGACGAACACGATGATCGCGCGATGATGATGCGGATGATGCTGCTCATGATGATGATGCTGCTGACGATGCTGCTGCTGCTGTTGCTGATGATGATGATTGTGACAACGACGACGAACACGATGACGCGGATGCTGTTGATGATCATGGATGCGATGACGACGACGGTCATGATGATGCGGATGATGATGGTGATGATGATGCTGATGATGATGATTATGATCATGATGCTGATTATGACGATGATGACGATGCTGATGCGGACGATGATGCTGCTGCTGCTGATGATGATGATGAGGATTGTGATGGTGACGGTGATGGTGATGCTGCTGCTGATGATGATGATGATGCTGTCGACGACGAAGACGCGCATAAAAATCATGATGACGATGATGAGAGTGATGGGTGTGATGATGATAATGATGCTGATGATGCTGATTCTGATGCTGCGGACGATGACGACGATGCTGATGATGATGATGCTAATGCTGATTGCGATTCTGATGATGACAATGCTGATGATGATGACGACGACGACTTCGGTGATGATGCTTGTGCGGATTATGACTATGACGTTGATGATGGTGATGATAACGATGGTGGTGGTGGTGGTGGTGATGTTGATGTTGATGATGATGATGATGATGATGATGATGATGATGATGGTAATGCTGATGCTGCTGCTGCTGCTGATGATGATGCTGATTCGGATGATGCGGATGATGATGATGACGACGTCGGCGGCGATGCTGATGACGATGGTGATGCTGCTGCTGATGACGATGATTATGCTCATAATGTTGATGGCGACGGCGATCAACATGATGTTGCTGCTGCTGATGATGATAGGGATAATGATCGTGCGGATGATGATGATGATGCTGATGATGATGATGATGATGATACTTCTGCTCATGATGATATTGATGTTAATGACGATGATGATGATGCTGCTGATGATGATGATGATGTCGATGACGCCGACGACTACGGTGATGCTTCGGATGATGCTAATGAGGAGTCTGCTGCTGCTGATGATGACGATGGTGATGGCGATGCTGATGCTGATGATAATGATGGTGACGAGGATGAGGGTGCTTATGAGGATGAGGATGACGACGTCGGCGGCGATGATGATGATGATGATGATGATGATGATGATGCTGCTGATGATGCTGATGATGATGATGATGATGATGATGATGAGGATGATGAGGCGGATGCTGATGTTGATGCTGCTGATGCTGCTGCTGATGATGACGATGGTGATGACGATGCTGATGATGATGGTGAACATAATAATAATAATCATAATAATCATATCATGAGGATCCCCGTGCCGCGGAGCAGTTCTTGAGCTTCTCGTTCTGCGCAGGATGCACCATCGCATCCGCGGCCTCCGTGGCCGACGCCCGCGCTCGCCGCTCCCCCTGCCGCGCCCAGAGGGCGGGCCGAGCTTCGGGCCCCGTCCTTCACGACGCGGGCCCCGCGGGGGTGCCCACCGGCTTCTGGGGCCCAGGGAGCGGTCCCCAGAGGCCGAGGACGGCCGAGCGCTTCCCGTGTCGTGATCCCTGCGCGACGCGAGGGGATCGCTGGCACTCCTGGCCTGGCGCGCGCCCCCGTGGGGGCAGGCGGGGCGCGGCGCCGCCCCTCGAGTCCGCCCGCGCGGAGCAGGTCAGGCAGATCGACGTGGACCGATGGACAGAGCGTGTTTTTTTTTATTGCTTGGGGCACGACTGGCATTATAGCCCCCCTTCCCCCCCCCCTATAACGTAACACCCCTCCCCCCCCAGTGCGCTCTGGGCACTGCCGCTGTGCGCACGGCGGGGGGGGAGGCGTTACATTAGATCCCCCCCCTGGGCCCCTCCCCCCCTATAAAGCCCATTATCGCAGGACATAAAGGAACGCGCTCATGTCTCCGAGGCGAGAATTTATACATGACCACCGCCTGGAGGGTCAGTTTTCGGAGCCTCGGCAGGCGGTGGATATGGACATATTCGGGCCCCCGGGGGCCGAAATATATCCATATCCACCGCCAGTTGGGGCACCAGGACGTCGGTTCCCAGGCGGTGGATATGCACAAAGGCACGCGCTCACGTCGGTGTCGTGATGCACCTCCCCATCCCCAGTGTGCCAGGGTTCCTCGACTCCATCAGCTTATCTCCTCTGGGCGTGGATCTGCGCTACGAGACCCGACGGACACGGCATCCAGCCCCACCCACGGGGGGCAGGTTTAAGTCGGGCGTGTCCCCCTACAGGGGGATTTTCGACGAAAAATAAAAAATACCCCCAAAGTGGTCAAGAAATATTAAACGAATAGTCCCCAGACTATTTTTTGACTATTTTTGAATCTTCCCCCCTGTAGAGGGACGGGCCCGACTTAAGGGTAGGCTGGCCGGCGGGGAAAACGGGTACCCGACGTGGACGGGGATTGGTTTATGGATGCTGACGGGACGTCGATGCGCACCTGGGGCAAACCAGGGCAAATCCAGAGTCAGGCGATCGCAAACATGGATCAAGGGGGCGTGGATTAGCGAAGGGTCCCGTTTCCATGGGCAATCGCGGGTTTCCGCCGCCGGGCGAGGCGGCACTGGCCGCATTTTGGGGAGGGCACCTCCCCCGAGCCATGGATTTGGCAACCGCGCGCCAAGTCCATGGATCGCTAATCCACGTTTGCGCGCCCCCGACAGAAGGCCTGGGTTCATCTGGACAGGTCGTGGAAGATCCAGCGCGGGCTGGGGACCCAGACGTCGACGTCGTGGCTCTGTCAAAACGTAGCTCACCCGAGGCCTGGACCCCTTCCCGCGGACTGGCCTGTCATCCTGAGTCGTCTTTTGACTGTCCTTGGGCTAGGTTTGTGTAGGCCTCCCAGATGGGGTCGGAGTGGATGGGAGTGGAGGATCGCGCCGCATCGCCGATGCATCGGCGATGCGGCTCGATGTGGAGCCCGATTCTCTCCATGCCGACTTCGCCGATGAATCGCGTCGCCAGTGCATCGGTGATGCATCGGCGATGTGGCGCGACCCTCCAACCCGATGCACTCCGACCCGTCTGGGAGTCTTCCAGTGCGAGGGCTCCCCGGAGGCCATACCCGAGCACGCGGGCCGCTGCTGTCGCATTCCACGGGCAGCGGTCGCAGACCCCGCAGCCGTCAAGGGCCCTTCTTGCCCAGGGTCACCCCTCGTGTGTGGCCGAAGGGCGACCCGCGACGTGCTGCCCCTGGCGGTGGGGCGGCGTCCTCCCTCGGCGCCCCGGGTCGTGCGGTGTGAAGGCTCCCCGGAGGAAAGACATGCCAGGGAAGCAGCAGCCCGTTTCAACGGCTGGAGGAGGAAGAGGTGGAGGTGGAGGAGGAGGAGGAGGAGTAGAAGGAGGAGGAGGAGGAGGAGGAGGAGGAGGAGGAGGAGGAGGAGGTGGAGGAGGAGGAGGAGGAGGAGGAGGAGGAGCAGGAGGGGACAAGCGGGCAGGGCAGGGTGGCGCCTCCAAGCGCGGCTGCGGCCCGGGGCGTGGGGCGGGCCGCCACCGCGGGCCCCCCGCGGGCGGTCACGGTCGACCGCAGGGCGCGCATGCAGGCCGCCATGCAGGCGCGGCGCGGCGCGGCGCGGCGTCGTCGTCGTCGTCGCCGTCGTCGTAGACGTGGTCGTCGTGGCCGTGGCCGTGGTCGTCGTGGCCGTGGCCGTGGCCACCGCCGCAGCCGCCGCCGTGGGCGTGGGCGTGGTCGTGGTCGTCGTCGTCGTCGTCGTCGTCGTCGTCGTCGTCGTGGTCGTGGTCGTGGTCGTGGTCGTCGTCGTCGTCGTCGTCCGTCGTCCGTCGTCCGTCGTCGTCGTCGTCGTCGTCGTCGTCGTCGTCGTCGTCGTCGTCGTCGTCAGTCGTCGTCCGTCGTCGTCGTCGTCGTCGTCGTCGTCGTCGTCGTCGTCGTCGTCGTCGTCGTCGTCGTCGTCGTTCGTCCGTCGTCGTCGTCGTCGTCGTCGTCGTCGTCGTCGTCGTCGTGTCGTCGGTCGTCGTCGCCTCGCCCGTCGCTTGCACGTCGTCGCGGACGTGGTCGGTCGTGGCCGTGGCGTGGTCGTCGTGGCCGTGGCCGTGGCCACGCGCAGCCGCGGCCGTCGTCGGTCGTCGTCGTCGTCGTTCGTCGTCGTCGCTGCCGTCGTTCGTCGTCGTCGTCGTCGTCGTCGTCGTCGTCGTCGATCGTCGTCGTGGTCGTGGTCGTGGTCGTGGACGTGGTCGTCGTCGCCTCGTCGTAGTCCGTCGTCCGTCGTCCGTGTCGTCGTCGTCGTCGTCGTCGTGTCGTCGTAGTCCGTCGTCGTCGTTCGTCGTCGTCCGTCCAGTCGTCCTCCGTCGTCGTCGTCGTCGTCGTCGTCGTCTTCGTCGTCGTCGTTGTCGTCGTCGGCGTCGTCGTCCGTCGTCGTCCGTCGTCGTCGTCGTCGTCGTGTCGTGTCGTCGTCGTCGCTGCCGTCGTCGTCGACGTGGTGTCGTGGCCGTGGCCTGGTGGTCGTGTGCCGTGGCCGTGGCCACCGCCGCAGCCGCGCCGTCGTCGTCGTCGTCGTCGTCGTCGTTTGTCAGTCGTCGTGCCGTCGTCTTCGTCGTCGTCGTCGTCCGTCGTCGTCGTAGTCGTCGTCGTTGGTCGTGGTCTTGGTCGTGTTTCGTCGTCGTCGTCGTCGTCGTCGTCCGTGTCGTCGTCCGTCGTCGTCGTCGTCGTCGTAGTCGTCGTCGTCGTCGTCTCGTCGTGTCGTCGTCGTCTTTTTCGTCAGTCGTCGTCCGTCTCGTCGTTCGTCGTAGGTCGTCGTCGTGGTTCGTCGTCGTCGTCGTCGTCGTCGTCCGTCGTCGTCCGTCGTCGTCGTCGTCGTCGTCGTCGTCGTCGTCGTCGTCGTCGTCGTCGTCGTCGCTGCCGTCGTCGTCGACGTGGTCGTCGTGGCCGTGGCCGTGGTCGTCGTGGCCGTGGCCGTGGCCACCGCCGCAGCCGCCGCCGTCGTCGTCGTCGTCGTCGTCGTCGTCGTCGTCGCTGCCGTCGTCGTCGTCGTCGTCGTCGTCGTCGTCGTCGTCGTCGTCGTCGTCGTCGTCGTCGTCGTGTCGTGGTCGTGGTCGTCGTGGTCGTCGTCGTCGTCGTCGTCGTCGTCCGTCGTCGTCGTCGTCGTCGTCGTCGTCGTCGTCGTCGTCGTCGTCGTCGTCGTCGTCGTCGTCGTCGTCGTCGTCCGTCATCGTCGTCGTTGTCGTTGTCGTTGTCGACGTCGTTGTCGCTGTCTTAGTCGTCGCCGTCGCCGTGGCCGTCGTCGTCTCCAGCGTCGTCGTCCTCGTCGCCGCCGCCGCCGCCGTCGCCGTCGCCGTCGCCGTCGCCGTCGCCGTCGGCGTCGGCGTCGTCGTCGTCAGCGTCGTCGTCAGCGTCGTCGGCGTCGTCGTCGTCGTCGTCGTTGTTGGCGCCGTCGCCGTCGCCGCCGCCGTCGCCGTCGCCGTCGCCGTCGCCGTCGCCGTCGCCTTCGTGGGGGGAAGTCAGACACCTGCCAACAGGGGTAGACGATGGGGGCGCATCGTGCCTTGTGGTGGGCACCGACGGGCGAATCTGCTCGGCACTGGCGAGTAGTACAGTCAGCTCGCAGTCTGGAGAGAACTCTCCGTCTCTCTGTCGTGCCTGCCTGTCTGGCTGTTTGCTTGCCTGCTTGTCAGCCTATCTCTATCTCTGTCTGCACTTCTACCTCTACCTCTCTGTCTGTTTGTCTGTCTGTCTGTCTGTCTGTCTGTCTGTCTCTCTCTCTCTCTCTCTGTCTTTCTCTCTTCCTGCACCTGTTTTGCTGTCTCATTCTTTCTCCATTTCTTATTCTTCTCCCTCTCTCCTCCTGGATGAGGGGGTGGGGGCTCTGGGGCTGCCTTGGGGCCCTCTGGGGCCATTTCGGGCGCTCTTGGAGGCCTCTTGGGCCGTGTCGGGGCCATCCTGGAAGCCTCTTGGGCCGTCGTGGAGCGCCGGTAAGCCGAACAGGCGAGAACACCAAAAACCTTTAAACAGCTGAAGGAAGATCACAAACGTCTGCCTCTGTGGGCCCTGTTAGGGGATCTCTTGGAGGCCTCGTGGGGCGTCTTGAAGGCGCTTTGGGCTGCCTGGAGGCCATCTTTCGCGTCTTGGATCGCTCTTGGACCGACTCGGACCATGTTGAGCTCTCTAAAACTCCTGGAGCGCTCTTGGGAGCCTGCTGTATCTCGCTGGGACCTGCCCGGGACCTTGCCAGGACCTGCCCAGGACCTGCTGGGGACCTTGCCGGGACCTGTCTGGGACCTCGCCGGGGTGTTTCTGTCCGGGGACCCCAAAGCGGCCCCGCGCGCGAACTGTGAACCAGTTGCCGGAGATCTTAGCACGCCCTTGGCCCGTTGGGCCAGCGAGTTGCGCACGGTCGTTCGCTTCATCCTAATCCTGGCATCGCTTGGACGTGTGCATTTTTTCTCGGCGACAACCATCGAGGACCATCCTCGACCAACGAGCAAAAAAACACACGCACGAAACCGAAAAAAACACGGGAAATGGACGTCCGAGCGACGGCGAGTAATGGCCCTCGGCCCAACGCGCCACCGTGCCTGGGGGTTGTGGGTCAGTGTCGTCAGGGCTGCCTGTCGGGGTCTCTTGGGAGGCCTTTTCGGGAGTCTCTTGGACGCAGTTTTGAGGACTCTTGGGGTCCGTTCTGGGGTCTCCTGGGGCCTCTTTCGGGCCCTCTTGGGGGCCTCTTGGGTCGTTTTGGGGCGATGTTGGGGGCCTCTTGGGACGTCTTGGAGCTTCGGCAGAGGCGAGAACGCCAACCTCTGTCAAAATCAAAGAGAAAGTCAATGATTTGTGCCTCTTGGGACCCTCGTGCGAGTGCTCTTGGAGGTCTCTTGGGGCGTCTTGGAAGCATCATGGGCCGTCTGGACCATCTAGAGCATGTTCGAGCGATGCTTCGGCGATCTGGGGCTCTCTTGGACCGTCTTGGGTGCCTTTTGGGGCCCTTTCGGGCCTTGTTTGACCCCTTTTGGGCCCGGACAGTCATTCGACAAGACGTGGCAAGCTCTGGGAGAGCTGCGCCACGCGCCGGGAGATTTGAGAATTTGGGGTCTGGGCCACCTAAAAGAACTCCAAGACAGAGGACCGAGGACTCCAAGGGACCCGAGGCATCATCCGCATCATCCTTATCAGGGCCATCATTATCGCTAGCTTCATCATTGCCACCGTCATCACCATCGTCTTCATTACCGTCACTTCCGTTGTCGTCATCCTCCCCACCGTCGTCATCAACATCATCACCGTCGTCGTCATCGTCGTTGTCGCCGTCTTCGTCGACAGCGCCAATGTATTTATCTCATGGCCTTCGGGCCATCCCGCCACCGTGCCTGGATAGTGGGTATGAAGCCTATTGGATGTTCGTCGGGATCTCGTGGGAGGCCTCTCGGGGGCCTCTTGGAGGTAATTTCGAGGCCTCTTGGGGGCCGTTTTGGGGCCCCTAGGGGTCTCTTTTGGTCCTCTTGGGGGCCTGTCGGGGACCTCTTGGGCTTCCTGGGCGCCTCTTGAGGCCTCCGGGGGCTCTAGGGGCGGAAGGCTCGCATTTTCGTTTGTGTTCCTTCTGTTGGGCCCTTTTTGGGGCCGTCTTGGGGCCCTCTTGGGCCGTCTTGGGCGCCTCTTGGGCCGTCTTGGGGCGCTCTTGGGTCGTCTTGGGGTCCTCTTGGAGGCCTCTTTGGCTGTTTTGGGGTAGTCTTGGGTGCCTCTTGGGCAATCTTTGGAGCGTCAGAGAGCTGAAAAGGCGAGAAGGCTAAAATTCCACAACATTTATGGCAAATCAATCATTTTGGCCTTTGAGGCCTTCTTGGGAGGCCTCTTTGAGGCCTCTTGGGGCGTCTTGGACGTCTCTTGGGCCGTCTGGAAGCCATCTTGGGCTTCTTGGGCCGATCTTTGGGCGACTCGGGGCCCTCTTGGACCGTCTTGGGGGCTTCTTGGGGCCCTCTTGGCTCGTCTTGGGGCCCTCTGGGCCCCAAGAAGCCATGCGACAAACCGCGGGGGAGCCCAGGGGGCGCGCCGGGAGCCCCGGTAGAGTGGAGTTTTGGGTCGGGGACGAGACTCCACAGGGCTGAGGGCTGAGACTCCAGGGAACATGCAGAGGACCCGATGACACGCCGACTCCGTGCCCAGAGGCACGGTGGCGGAGCATTATGAGCATCCGCCCGCCCGGCTCCTGGATTTGCATGGTCCTCGCGTCATCACGCCAGTTGCGCTTTGCCAGCAAGTTGCGTTGGGTGAGCGGGGTCATTGCGCAGTCAGCGGAGGTGGCAACGCGCAGATGCCAGCAGCGTGACTGTCTCCTCCTGACATGGATTTGAATATACCCCCATGCCGAGGCCGGGCTTATCGCACCACTTCCTCCGGTTTTTCCGTGGAGCCATTTTCTCTGCATGATCTTTCATCCCATATGTGAAAGTGTTGTTTTGGCCAAACCAGTATCTACGCCCCCATTTCATCCTTGCCAAGTGTTGCCTTGCTGCGCACACGCGTTGATCTAGCACCCCCTTCGCTCTGCATGAATCTCTGTCAAGTAGTACCCTGCGGACCACAGGCGCGCTTCCTCCCGCGTGCGCACGTTGCGCCAGTGGTTTTCGGCGCATTTCAAGATGGAGCTTTTCAAACACATGACAACCACGTGTTTGTTCAATACACTGTCTCCCGCAGTTCTGTGCGCGCACTCGCTCAAATCATGAGACACTACTTGTGGTTTTTGGTTGTTGACATGCTGTCGAACCATACCATGCGGGCAACACGCGCGCGCATGTCGAACACATTAGTAACCGTCGCTCACCCGCCAACTCAATCAAGCAACACCAGGCGGGCCACTCGTGCGTCTCCGTGCGCGCTTGACGAAATTCTTGCAAAGCAAATTGTTTCCAAACACTTCAACGCAGATGTGCTCAAACAGGTCAGAAGCCCCCTTGTTATGATATCAGAATTTCTGCGCTCGCACTTCGTCATTCTTATCATCCCCATCGTTATCATCATCGCCAGCGTCGTCGTTGCCACTGTCACCATGGAGGGTTTCTTCTAAACTCGGAATTGTGGCACCATTTTCTGTTGGGAAGGCCCAAATCGCAGGGACCTGGCCCAACACTAATGAATGGGTGTTGGGCTGAATGCGCCAGGGGTCCTTCACTATTGCTGCGCAAGAAGGTCAAGCACCAGGAAAGCGAAGGACCAACGCACATCAACCGATGCAAGTGCGGTAGCGGATCAGTCTCAGTTTCCCGACCGAGGCTGGGTTTATTGGCACCCTTCCGCATGCAACGTTTTCACATTTATTCTACAGGACCGTTCATTCTAAACATCCAATGGTGTCATCCCGGGCCAGCCGGTACCGACCCCACTGTCAGCCTCTGCAACAAACGCAATGCGCTGCACATGCGTTGATCTAGAACGTGTGTTTTGTGAAAACTCTTTGCATTACATCGTATGCGGTGCGCATGCTCGTGCCGCAGCGCGCGCAAGCCAAAACTATTCAAGCAACCAGAGGCTTTCGAACATCTTCAAGCCATAGTGGTCGAGAACGATCACACACCAATTGTTTCCCCGGAAGAATGCACATGAATTCTGTGCAGGCGCACTCTGAAATCAAAGAGCACCATACTTCTTTTATCCAGGTTGTCAAGCGAGGAGCATGCGGGCCACGCGCGCGCATGTCGAAACATTTCAACCAGCGTCGCGCACTCGCCAAGTCATGCAAAGCACATCGTGCGGGCCACACGCGGGTCTCCGCGCGGGCGCACGTCGAAATCTTTCCAAAGCCATTGGCTTCCTCAGTATCTCGACAAATATGTGTTCAACAGCGCATGCACAGCAGTGTGCCTTTTGATTACGACAGACGTTCAGAATTTCTGCTCGCGCGCACTTCCTTATCGTCCTCATCAGTATCATCGTGTAGATCGTCGTCAGTGTCTGGAAGTCATCAGTTGTCATCACCATTTCATCAGCTGGAAGTTACCATCACCATCGTCATCATCACAGGCGTCCTCGTCGTCGCCTTCATCATCATCGCCACCACCATCTCCATCATCATCGTGGTCGTCGCTGATGTCGTCGTCCCCATCATCACTCGCCCGCCCGAGTCATGTGTCTGCATGAGGAGGGCCTTCGCGTCCTTGCGCCTATCGAGATTGGCGAGCAAGTTCCGATGAGTAACTTCACTTACGCCTTTTGAGTTTGCCAGCAAGTTGCGGGTGGGTGGGATGTAGGGAGATGGACGCGCGGATGCAGGCTGGTGAATTGCACCGCATCGAGTGCATCGCACGTATTCTCTTTTCTAAAAAGGAGATCTGTTCTACCACCCTCCCCCTCCCAGATTTATCGATTCCCCGGGAACCTATGCAAAACGCACATGATTCTGAACCAATGTCCATCCTACCTTTGAATTCATACTATCCCAGCCAGGCCGGTATCGGTACCCCCTCGGTTCCCTTGCAAAGAAAACTATGCGCGCACATTCGTTTATCACAAATCACAAGTTTCAGTAGTCTTGGGCAACCGATGAGACGACGTGCGCACGCGCGCGTCGTCGCGCGCGCTTGACGAAATCATTCGAAAACCTTCGTTTTCGGAAGGATGTCGAAATCGAATGTCCAACAAACAAAAGCACTGGGTTTCGCAACGCGGGTTTTCAACAAAAGCGCGCGCGCGCGCGCTCTTTCGAATCCTCAAGAAAACCATGGATTTTTCAAATTTTCATAAACTGCTACCAAACGGGCTTCGCGCGCGCATGTCGAAATCGTTCGAACGCCCTTGCGCGCGTGTTGGGGTGGCACGATCCGTGTCAAATAATACCGTGCGAGCCACACTCGCGCGTTTGCCGCGCGCGCATTTCGAATTCCTTCCCAAACCTTCATCACAGACGCGAGGTCGCCGTCATCGTCGTCGGCGTGATCAGCATCGGCGCCGTCACTGGCTGCCCCGTCGTCGTTGTCAGCATTGTCACCAGCATCGCTAGTATCATCATCGTGTCTACCGTTGTCGACGTTGCCATGATACCGCGCCCGCCCAATTCGCCGACTCGCACTGAAGTGCCCGCTGGGATGTGCCGAGCGGTCAGCGCCACCGCGTTCGCGTCGGTCGCGTCAAACTAGCTGGCCGCTGCCCGCGCGAGCATGCGCGGGCTGGCGCCGCATGGGTTTTGAAAACCAAGTTGCGGGTGGGTGGGTGGGACGATTGCGCGAGAAATAGAGTTGACACCTACAGTTTTGGCAAGTGAATTCTACTCCGTAGAATGCACCTCGCAAACTGTACATAATCACTGTTTTGAGTCCACGTGGTTGCATCATATTTTTCGCGTTCGGCAGGATAGGGGGCGGCGAGGTTGCTAGAGGTGTGACCTCTTGGGCGGGCGTCATGCCACCCTCCCAGCTCAGGCGAAGGCCACGCAGCCCGCGCCTCCGCCGGCTGTCGCCGCCGCCCTGGGTGCCGCGGTGGCCAAGGCCAAGCAGCCAGCGGCACATTTGGTCGCCAACAGCCCGGGCGCTGAGGAGGCCGCGGCCGCGCAGAGCGCAGTGCCGGCGGTGGGGAGCGACAGAGGCGTCGAGGAGGCCGCAGCCACGCAGCCCGTTGCGCCAGAGCCCGCCCTGGTCCGATGTGCTCGAGAGGCCGAGGCCGCACATGTGGCGCCGCTGGCAACCGGCGGCCCGAGCGCAGCAGAGGCCCGTGCTGTGCAGCCAACGTCTGTGGTGGTTGCGACCGGCCCGGGCACCGCGGAGGCCGAGGGCAGGCAGCCAGTGCCAGCAGCGGTCACCAACGACCAGTGCGCGCAGCTTGCACCACCAGTCGCGCTCGCCAGCGCCGAGGCTGCCGCGGATGCGGAGTCCCCGCTGCCAGCGGCATCGGCTGCAGCCGCGAGCGACCAGGGTGCCGAGGAGGCCGCCGCCGCAGAGCCCGCGAACGACTGCGGCGCTCGGGCCGAAGCCGCGCTGCCCGCGGCGCCAGCCGTGTCGAGCGACCAGGGCGCCGCGGAGGCCGCTGCCGCGGCACCTGCCGCGGCACCCGAGGTGGTGGCGGCGGCGGCGGCGAGCCACCAGGGCGAGCTTGGGGCCGAGGCCGCGCTGCCCCCCGCGCTGGCTGCCGTCTCAGGCGACCGGGGCGCCGCGGAGGCCGCCGCCGCGGAGTCCGGGGTGGCGGCGGCGGCGGCCGCGGCGGCGGCGGCGAGCGAACAGGTTGCGCTTGGGGCCGAAAGCGAGCAGCCCGCGGCGCCGGCGGCCGTCTCTGGCGGCCGTGGCGCCGTGGAGGGTGCCGCGGCGGCCGCGAGCGGCCAGCCCGCCGCAGAGTCCAAGGCTCGGCGGACCGAAACGCCCCTGACCACCGCCCCCCCCTCCTTTGGTGAGCCCTGGGCTCAGACCCCCTCGAGTCAAGGAAGAATCACGACGGGCAGTTTTTCGCTGTCTTCAGCCTCTGGGGGCCCTCCCTGGGCGTCGGGGCCGTCGAAGACCGACGCAGGATGAAGATCTGGCCATGGGGAATGGGTCGAGAGCTCGGGGGGGGCGACGTCATGACAAGAACCATGACCACGGGGGTCTGGGAGTGGTGCGTGGCCGATTCAACAACGCCATGTCGTCCTTGTGCAGACACGTTTTTCGATAGCCCCCGGCGGAGTTTGCCCTGCTGCGGTGCGTCTCGCCCACGTCCAGAATCACGCTTTCTCCTCCTTCCCTCCCCTCTCGGTTGTCCGTTGCCTCCCCCCCTTCCCCCCCATTCCCTGCCCTTCCTTCCCCCCATTTCTGCCCCCCGCCCCCCTTCACAATTACACAATGTGAATACTACTTTCCTCTCTCCCATGACTCTGTCCAGAGAGTGTCCTGTCCTCTCCGCGTATTGCTTTTTCCCGGAAAGGGCCTGGGCCCAGGGTTCTCTTTTAGTGGGTTTACCCCCCGGTTTTTATTTGAAGGGGGCCGGCGAATTTCTTGTGCGATAAATTACGAGGTCGAAGGGGGCCGGCGAATCAAAATTGTGAGGACGAAGGCAATTTTTCGCCACCCCTCACGCAGATCGTGCTCTTGGAATTTTACTGCCTTTAAGGAAACCTCGATATTTCACAGGTGAAGTCCACTTTTTTCCGACATCGACTTTAAACGATAGCAAAAACGAGGTAAACGCGTTCGCTCGATAAATAACGAGGTACCGCGGCCTCCGGAACGGCGCTGGGAACGGAGTTTTGGATTCTTAAAGTTGCATAAGTTCGTAAATAGCAGAAATCCCATGTGTTTTTTGACCCTGACCCCGCGGATCTGCGTGAGGGGTGGCACAGAATTTCAGAAATGTGGCAAATCCCGTGTGTTTTTGGATCCTGACCCCGCGGATCTGCGTGAGGGGTGGCACCGAATTTCAGAAATGTGGCAAATCCCATGTGTTTTTGGACCCTGACCCCGCGGATCTGCGTGAGGGGTGGCACCGAATTTCAGAAATGTGGCAAATCCCCTGTGTTTTTGGACCCTGACCCCGCGGATCTGCGTGAGGGGTGGCACCGAATTTCAGAAATGTGGCAAATCCCTTGTGTTTTTGGACCCTGACCCCGCCGATCTGCGTGAGGGGTGGCACCGAATTTCAGAAATGTGGCAAATCCCGTGTGTTTTCGGATCCTGACCCCGCCGACCTGCGTGAGGGGTGGCACCGAATTTCAGAAATGTGGCAAGTCCCATGTGTTTTCGGACCTTGACTTCGCCCAGGAGGGCCCAGGAGGCTCCAGGAGAGCCCAGGAGAGCCCAGGAGGGCCCAGGAGAGCCCAGGAGGGCCCAGGAGGACCCAGGAGGCTCCAAGAGGCACCAGGGGGCCCAAGGAGGGCCCAGGAGAAGCTCCAGGAGGCTCCAGGAGAGCCCAGGAGGGCCCAAGAGGTCCAAGGAAGACCCAGGAGGGCCCAGGAGCCCTTACGAGGGATCGTGGCCCTGGGAGCGCTGACGTGCCGTGGGGGGCCTCGTGGGGGGCCAGAATTCAAAGGATGTCTCAGGCAAAATGCTTGTTTTCACGTCCCGCTCGCAGGAATTCCGAGGATGTCTCGCGCGTGCCGCGTCCCGCGCGCAGGAATTTCGCGGATGTCTCGACTAATTTGTTTGTTTTGCCAGGATTTCCTTGGATTTTGGCAGGGTGTCTGAAACGCTTGTCCCCAGCACGTTCCGTAGCGCGTCCCCTTGGCACGTCCCGCGGTGCGTCCCCATGGCACGTCCCTTGGCACGTCGCTGGGCGCGTCCCTTGAGACGTTCCGCGGCGCGTCCTCCTGGCATGTCCCCCTGTCAATTAGCTCTGGGGCAGCTACTCTGTGTTCAGGCAGCTGGAGCTTAAGATCGAGATCAGCTCGGTCAGGACTCGGATGCAAAGGAGGACTCGATCCACGAGGCTATAGAGCACAATCGCGGCATGGCGCATCGCAATTCAGCACGGCGCAGCACAGCACAGCCCTCGGCACGGTACATCAAGATCGATACTCAGCATTGCAACTTGGCACGTTCCTTGGCACGTTCCGTGGCGCGTCCCCTTGCGAGTCTCCCTTGCACGTCGCGTGGCGCGTCCCCTGGCACATCCCGTGGCACATCCATTGGCACGTTCCGTAGCGCGTCCCCTTGGCACGTCCCGCGGTGCGTCCCCATGCCACGTCCCTTGGCACGTCGCTGGGCGCGTCCCTTGAGACGTTCCGCGGCGCGTCCTCCTGGCATGTCCCCCTGTCAATTAGCTCTGGGGCAGCTACTCTGTGTTCAGGCAGCTGGAGCTTAAGATCGAGATCAGCTCGGTCAGGACTCGGATGCAAAGGAGGACTCGATCCACGAGGCTATAGAGCACAATCGCGGCATGGCGCATCGCAATTCAGCACGGCGCAGCACAGCACAGCCCTCGGCACGGTACATCAAGATCGATACACTCAGCATTGCAACTTGGCACGTTCCTTGGCACGTTCCGTGGCGCGTCCCCTTGCGAGTCTCCCTTGCACGTCGCGTGGCGCGTCCCCTGGCACATCCCGTGGCACATCCATTGGCACGTTCCGTAGCGCGTCCCCTTGGCACGTCCCGCGGTGCGTCCCCATGGCACGTCCCCTGGCGCGTTGACTGGCGCGTCCCCTGGGACGTTTCGCGGCGCGTCCTCCTGACATGCTCCCCTGTCCATCAGCTCTGGGGCAGCTACTCTGTGTTCAGGCAGCTCGAGCTTAAGATCGAGATCAGTTCGGTCAGGACTCGGATGCAAAGGAGGACTCGATCCATGATGCTATAGAGCACATTCGCGGCATGGCACATCGCAATTCAGCACGGTGCAGCACAGCACAGCCCTCGGCAGGGTACATCGAGATCGATACCCTCAGCATTGCATTTGCCCGTCACCCAATCAGGTGTCTTTGAAAATGCTGCCATGCGTTACAGCTCTATATTCCTTTCCGGGTTCGTGGGTCGATCATGTTACACAGGAGTTAGTTATTTGGTTTCCCCCATGTGTTTTTCAATTCGGTCGTTTCCGGTTCTTCAAAATGGTGCTCCCGCTGCAGAGCCGCCCTCATTTCCGCGCTTCGGTCATTCAAAATCGTGCTCCCGCTGCAGGGCTGGCCTCGTTCCCGCACCTCCAGACGGCACTTGGCATTCGAAAGCGCCCACATCGGGCAGGCACGGTTGTGGAGCTCCCCATGGGGCCACGAAGCTGCGGCGGCGGTGCCATGCGAATTTTCCCTCTGGGGCCTTCGGCGGAGCTCCCTGTGGGGCCACAAAGCGTGTGAGGCGTGTGCCGAAATGAGGCGGCGGTGCCATGCGAATTTTCCCACTGGGGCCTTCGGTGTAGCTCCCTATGGGGCCACGGAACGTGTGAGGGGTGTGCCGAAATGGGGCGGCGGTGCCATGCGAACTTTTCCGCTGGGGTCTTAGGTGAGGCTCCCTATGGGACCACGAAACGTGTGAGGGGTGTGCCGAAATGGGGCGGCGGTGCCATGCGAACTTTCCCATTGGGGCCTTAGGTGGGGCTCCCCATGGGGCCACGAAGCGTGTGAGGGGTGTGCCGAAATGGGATGGGCATGCGGAGAGCAGGTGCAGGGAGGTGAGGAGGGAGGAGGGGGCGGAGGGGCAGCGGGAGGAGGAGGAGTGAACGCGGGGCGCTGCCTCCTCAACACGAGGACCCAACACCACGGGAGGGTTGGGAAAAACATGTCTGCCTCGATGTAGTACATCGCGAGTCCCCCGCGGAGGATCCAGGCCATTTGCGAGCAGCTACTCTGCGAGTGGTGGAGCGAGCCTGTCGAAGGACGGGCGGTCTGCGGTGGCCGCTTTTGGCCTCGGGGGCCCTCGCCGGACCCCGAGGACCGTCAGCGGCGACTTGCGTTTCGGGGCGACGCGCCGGACCCCTGGGAAAGGTCCGTCCCTGGGCATCCCCCCTGCGCCCGTGACCCTGGTGCCCGAGGAGGAGGAGGAGGAGGAGGAGGCGGAGGGGGAGGAGGAGGAGGAGGAGGAGGAGGAAGAGAAGGAGGAGGAAGAGAAGGAAGAGGAGGAGCCGGAGGAAGAGGAGGAGGTGGAGGAGGGGGAGGAGGAGAAAGAGGAGAAAGAGGAGGAGGAGGACGACGAGGAGGGAATAGGGCTAGGAGGAACGAGGACGGAGGAAGCGGACACACATATCGATGAAAGGAGGGGTGAATGGGAGAGGGGGGACCGTTTTGTTTTCGACCGAAAGGTGACCCAGCTGCTAACGCCGTCGGCCACGAACGACCTTCGTGTTGCCCTCCCAGGAGGAGGGTGGGGGGGCTCTCTGCCTTTTTCTCATCTCATCTTTCTCGCTCCTGTTCGTTTTTGCTTCCCCCTCCTCTTCGGACATTGATACACCGCGTCGTGGGATGTACGGCCAGACAAGAGTGCGTCCGCTCCTGGGCCGTTTTTGCGGTCTCTTGGTGCCGTTTCGACATCCTCGTAGGGGCCTGTTGGCCCGTCCTGGGGCTTCCCTGGGCCGTCTTGACACCTCTGATGGCCTCTGCGGGGCTTCTTGGTGTGATACCATGGGAGGTCCTGGAGGTCATCTCTGGGGGGGGCTTCTGGGGCCCCTTCGACTTTCCTATCTTGGGTCCTCTTGGGGCCTTCTTTTCGGGCGAAGAGAACTATGCACATGCACCGATCTTGGCCTGGCCCATCCTTGACCCAGGATCGGTGCATATGCCTTCCTGGCCAAGGTAGGAGGGCGCATGCACCGATCCTGGGCTCAGGACGGGCCTGGCCAGAATCGGTGCATGTGCGAAGTACTCTTTCCTCTATCTTTGGGGGCACTTTGGGCCGCCTTGGGTGCCTCTTGGGCCATCCAGAGAGGCCTTCTTGGGCCGTCTGCAGAGGCCTTCTGGGGCCGCCCTGCCCCCACGGGGCGTCCAGGCCCGGTCTGGGGTGATCCTTGGGCCGTCTTGGCTTCTCCTCCTCCTCCTCCTCCTCTCCCTTCTCCTCCTCCCTCTCCTCCTCCACCTCCTCCTCCTCTCCCTCCTCCTCCTCCTCCTCCTCCTCCTCCTTCCTCCTCCTCTCCCTCTCCTTCCTCCTCCTCCTTATCCTCCTCCTCCTCTCCCTCTCTTTCCTCCTCCTCCTCCTCCTTCTCCTCCTCCTCCTCGTCCTCCTCCTCCTCCTGCTTCCTGCCGAAGCCTGAAAAGGCGAGAATTTTTAATACTGGTCAGACACGCATTTCCGGTGGGGGCCCTTTTGCGGGTCCTCTTGGGGAGGTCTCATGGCGCCAACATCGCAGAGCGGATTTTGTTCGGAAAACGATAGGGTGGGCCCGGGGTGTCCTGGAGAATTTCGTTCCTGATTTGTGGCCCGGAATAAGGACTAAACACATCCACTCGAAATTCACTTCGTTTTTCACTCGCCGTTTCGGGGTTTTGCATTGGAAGACGCCCACGCAAAAATCAACTGCTGCACGTCTGCAAGGTTGGTGCACTGATAACACTGGCTAGACACGTATTTCCTGTGGAGGCCCTTTTGCGGGTTTTCTTGGGGAGGTTTTGGGGGCTATTTTGGGGGAGGAGGCTTCTGAGGACTCTTCGACTTCCCCATCCTGGGCCCCTGTTGAAGCCTTCTTGGTGGCATCTTGGGCCGCCCAGGGGGGCCTCTTGGGCCGTCTTGGGGTCTTCTTGGAATGTCTTGGGGGTCTCTTGGGGCTCCTCGTGGGTCGGTCAGAGTGGCCTTTCAGGTCGTCTTGGACTGTCAGAGGTCCGAAAAGGATAGTTTTCCACAATATGTAAATCACCTATAATCAAACCGTTTTGCGTCTGGATGTTCTCTTAATGACTTTCGCTTCTGGATGCTTTCTCGGGGGTCCTCTTGGGGCCCTCTTCTTCCTCTTGGGGGCATCTTAGGGGCATCTTCGTGGAGAGGCCTCCCGGGACCCATTCGAGCTCGCATCTTGGTGGCATCAAGGGCCGCCTTGGGGGTTCATGGGGCCGTCTTGGGGCCGTCTTGGGCCGTCTTGGGGCCCTCTCGGGGCTCTCTTGGGCCGTCTGAGGCCGTTCTGGGGCGACTCTTGGGCCGCCTTGGGTTATCCGAAGCCTGAAGAGGTGAGAACTCGAACGACGTCAAAAACAAGAAGGACGCATGTTGTTTCCCTCCTGGAGGCCCTCTTGGGGGTCCTCTTGTGGCCCTCTTCAGCCGTCTTGGACGCCTCTTGGGCCGTCTTTGATCACCTTGGCTCGTCTTCTGCCCGTGTAGGCCGTCTTGGGGGTATCTTCGGGCCATCTTGGAGGCTTTTTTGGTGTCGGCGCTCAAAGAACTTGCCGCAGGTGCTCGGCAAGTCCGCGGGGTGGGTTCGGCAGATTTGGTGCCCCCCCGAGCAATGGCTAAATGCTCAGCATGCATTGTCCATATTTCATCACCCACCAAACCACCCCAACCCAACCCGAAGGCCTCAATGTGCCCTCCATTTCCAGCGGGGGGGGGATCGGGGAACATGGGAAAAACACAGATGGAACCCTTAACCCCCCCAACCCGAAATTCGGGTCTTTGGGTTGGGTTGGGGTGGTCTGGTAGGTAGTCAATATCCGTAAGGGCTTCGCCCCCTACCGCCGGCCCCCACTCTTGGAGAATGGGCAATGCAAGAGCGAAAGCATGAGGCCTTGGCGCCGCCGTGAAGCAGCGTCGGGACTTCACGCGAAGACGGTGAGTAATCGGCAAGAGAAATTGATATTCTGGTGATATTGTTGAATTCGGTCTTGTATTTCGAGGGTTTATGGCTTCGGATACGCGAAAAGCGCGTAATTTACGATGGTTTGTGGCTTCAGGCTCGCAAGTATATCGTAATTTACGCAGGTTTATGGCTTCGGAGACGCGACTATTGTGTAATTTACGAGGGTGTATGGCTTCGGACACGCGATTATTGAATAATTTATTACGGGGGTTTATGGCTTCGGGGTCGCAAGTATTGTGCCACTTACGCAGGTTTATGGCTTCGGAGACGCGAGTATCGTGTAATTTTCGACGGTTTATGGCGTCGGGGACGCGAATATTGCGTGATGTACGAGCGTTTGTGGCCTCGGGGACGCAAGTATTGCATAATTTAAGAAAGTTTATGGATTCGGGGACACATATATTACGCATTGCGAGAGTTTATGGCTTCGGGGGCGCGAATATTGGGTAATTCACGAGGGTCTACGGCCTCGGGGACGCGAACATTGTGGCATTTACAAGGGTTTATGGCCTCGGGGGCGCGAATTTAATGTATTTTTGCGTGTCCCACGCCCCCCCCAGGAATTCAGAGCACGCGATTCGGGCGTGGTAACTAGGTTCCTTCTCGGCTCCCCCCCCCAAGGAACAGTAAGCAGCAAGCAGCAGAACTGTAACAGTGGACACTGGAAACTGGAAACTGACGCAGGGAACGGCAAACCTTGGTCCTACAGCCTGGTGGCCCCACAAGGGGGCCGGCGGACTGTGACTGGGAGATGACGGCTGCGCCCGAAAGTGTCCCCCGTGATCTGCTCCTCCGTCGCAGCACGGCCGTGGATTCCGCTCGCCTCGCGGGTCTGGCTGTTCTTGACTGTCCTGAGGGGGCCGCTCCGTCGGCGTCTCGGGCCCCTCTTGGGCGGTGTCGGGCCGTCGTTGGGCCCTCCTGAGCCGTCGTGAGCTTCCTGGACGCATTTTGGGATGCCGTTTTGGGCCGCCGGGTTTTTCCCGGAAAGGGCTCGAGCCCAGGGTTCTCTTTTAGTTGGTTCCCCCCGGTTTCGACGGCTGTAGGGCCGGCGAAATTATTCTGCGATGAATTCCGTGCGGGAGCAGGGCCGGCGGAATTAATTGGGAGGATGTCTCGAGCGAAACGCTTATTTGTCATAAATTGTTGAGGATGTCTCGAGCGAAACGTTGGTTTTGCAGAGTTGGGGATGTCTCAAGCGAAACGTTTGTTTTCAGAATATGTTGAAGATTTCTCTAGCGAAACGCTGGTTTTGCAGAGCCGACCGCGACGCGGAAAAGCGCCCCCTGCGCGCAGGAATTCCGAGGATGTCTCGCGCGTGCCGCGTCCCGCGCGCAGGAATTCCGAGGATTTTGGCAGGATGTCTCGAGCGAAACGCTTGTCCCCAGCACGTTCCGTAGCGCGTCCCCTTGGCACGTCCCGCGGTGCGTCCCCATGGCACGTCCCTTGGCACGTCGCTTGGCGCATCCCTTGAAACGTTCCGCGACGCGTCCTCCTGGCATGCTCCCCTGTAAATTAGCTCTGGGGCAGCTACTATGTGTTCAGGCAGCTCGAGCTTAAGATCCAGATCAGTTCGGTCAGGACTCGGATGCAAAGGAGGACTCGATCCACGAGGCTATAGAGCACAATCGCGGCATGGCACATCGCAATTCAGCACGGCGCAGCACAGCACAGATTTCGGCACGGTACATCAAGATCGATACATTCAGCATTGCAACTTGGCACGTTCCTTGGCACGTTCCGTGGGGCGTCCCATGGCGTGTTCCCCTGGTACGTCGCGCGGCGCGTCCCCTGGCACGTCCCGTGCCACGTCCATTGGCACGATCCGTAGCGCGTCCCCTCGGCCCGTCCCGCGGTGCGTCCCCATGGCACGCCCCCTGGCACGTCGCATGGCGCGTCCCTTGGGTCGTTCCGCGGCGCGTCCTCCTGGCATGTTTCCCTGTAAAGTTGCTCTGGGGCAGCTACTAGTTATGTGCTCAGACAGCTTGAGCTTAAGATCCAGACCAGTTCGGTCAGGACTCGGATGCAAAGGAGGACTCGATCCACAACGCTATAGAGCACAATCGTGGCATGGCACATCGCAATTCAGCACAGCGCTGCACAGCACAGCCCTCAGCACGGTACATCAAGATCGATACACTCAGCATTGCATTTGCCCTTCGCCCAATCAGGTGCCTTTGAAACTTTGCCATGTCTTACATTTCTATGTTCCTTTCCGGGTTCGTGGGTCGATCATGTTTTTTTGGCTCGCTGGGCCCGTCTTGGGGGCCTCCTTGGGGGTCGCTGGGGCTGTCTTGAATGTTCTGTCAGGCAAAGTGGTCGTGCACGTATGCAGAAACTGTGCATGAAACAGAAGGGCGTCGACACTTTTTGGTTTCCTAGGGACGTTATTGGGGACTCTCTTGGCCAGCTCGGGCCTCTCGGTCAGAGTTGCCATCTGTAGCCATTTGGGGTAATTCGGGCGGGTCTGGGAATACTTCTGGATCAGATGATTTCTCTGGTGCCCCCCGTCTGGACCGTTGACCAGACCCCCTTCCCTCCACACTGGCTGGACCCGGGGCTCCGGGGGAGGGAAATCGAACT